ACATTTAAGGAGGATCCCAAAGATGAAAGGGTGGCAGGTGGTTTTCAGGGAGGCCAGGAGCTACATCCAGCTTCACCATCCCTGAAATCTCTCGCATCTTCAGCGTGTCTCTCTTTAATTTTAAGTGAGAATGATTAGCAAACACACATAGGAACCTCTCTTGCTTTCTGATTGGCCGTGGCCTCGTTTGTCTGTCCATGGTCCCACCCCTCGCAGCAGCTCCCTCACATCCCGTGGGCCAGTTGGCACGATCCATTTTTAGTGTGACATGCGGTTCAGCCCCGGGCTGCCGTTCAGAGCCGGGGCGCCCTTCTGGCGAGCGGGCCGGCCTCTCATTGGAGCGTTTAAGCTGCCAGGGGCCTCGCCTGCTTACTGGGCCTGCGTATGTGCGTGTGCGGGACTGCAGTGCCCTTATCCTTGCCTGAGTCTCCCCAACTCCCCTCTAGTGCCATTGCCTTCTTGGAAGCCCTGGTCTGCATCAAGTTCGGTCAGGACCTGTTCTCCAAAACGCAGATCCTCTATGTCATCTTCTGGCTTCTGTGTGTGGTAAGCTCCTCCTCTCCACTCCTCTTCCTCACATCTTGCTCTCCTTCACTCTATCCTTCCTGGACTCTGCCCGTTCTGTAGTAGACGGGGGACTATTTCCTCATGTCCTCTTCTCCTTGCCCCGTTTCTGTAGGCTTTCACCACCTTCCTCTGCCTCTATGGGATGGTGTGGTACGCGGAGAAATACGGACCGAAGAGGCCGAAGGTAAGAGCCCCCTGCCCAGTAGAGCGTGCCTTACTGATGACCTGTGACTCATCAGGAAACCCAAGGAGATGGAGAGTTAAGACTCCAAATCACCGGCACTGTATCCCCTGCTGTGTACTGCCGAGGAAAATGCCCGGATCATTCAGGCCAGACGCCATTTGCCGTTTCAGACCCTGTCAGAATGTGAAGACAGCAGCTACACTAACTCCTGTGGCCATGCCCCCACCATCTCCAAGGGTAACGTGAAACGACACGCCCCCAGAGCTCTCCGACCGTGACCTGTGCTCCGCTGGCCCCTGAGGACCCCAACCCCTGCAGCCCCCCTCTGATCTGTCTGTATGGTAGGAAAATGGAGGAGCCGGATTGATATTTTGGTTCATCTTTCCTGTTTGGTCTTTTTTTTCCCAGGCGATAAAGAGTCTGGGAGTGGTGCACAGTCATCGCGGAAGAGGAAGGGATCCGGGAGGAAGAAGACCAGCAATGGCCTGGGGGGCAAAAAGTAGCAGGGGCTTGCAGATATGGGGGAGGGAGAAGAGTGACCACAACTGACAGACCTGCAGCAAGGAAAAGGGCTAATTGTTGTATTTTTTGAGGAGGGGGCCACTGAAACACAGAATTGGGCCTTGACCATACGAGCACCTGGGGCCAGTATCACAGGGTGTCACCCTGCCTACATTACTGTTCTCTATCCCCCATTGTAGGGCTTAAATAGGGTGACCCCCACCCACAGACACACAGGCAACAATGCGCTAACTAAACACCCACCCCCCGGCAGTCAGTCAGCTGGCTTCCCTGTCTGTGTACTCATGCGGATTCTAAATGCATCCTGCTCTCTGGCTAAATAAGGCCTGGAATGTGAGCAGGAAGCAGCCCCAGCGAGCCGTGTGTGTGACCGGCATGTTTATGGGTCACCATGGTGACGGGACGCTGTCTATGCACATGGCGTGTCTGGCTGGCCAAATGGGGGGGGGGAGGGTTCAGATAATTTTGGGCCCCCCAGGCCCATTTCTTGCCAGCCCCTCTCAACATCCCCCGCCCCGTGACAAATAGTCACTTTTTAAAAAAAAATCTTAAAAACATAGTGTATGTACAGCAAAAATTTCTGCAAGTTTGTTCACTCTCCTCCTCATCTGAGAGGTCGCCCCGTGGCCGTGTTCACGTGGCCTGTCTGTTTTATCTCTCCCCCACCCCTTAACCCCCCCCACCCCCAAACCTGTGTGTGTGTCTGTCTGTGAATAAGCCCTGCTGTGGGCTTGAGTGTCCTCACTGCCGGATTCCCCCTGACCTGACTGATGGCACAAAGGTCGTCATAATGGCTGTCAGAAGCTCTGGGCCTTTCGCTCCCCCCTGGGTGCTGGGGCCACTTCTCTAGAGGCCAGATGTAGAGCCTCAGTCTTTTTGTGGCTGGGGGGCCCGGCTACAGAGACGCAGTTGGAGCACTTATCCCCTTTGTCCATTAGTAGTGCACATGTGGGCCAAATTTATCAAACTTTTGCACCAGTAATATTCATATATTCCCCAGTACTAACATGTATGTCCTGTGCAAATTCAAAAGGAAAAAACTAAGTTTACAGCTTGTTTTTAACCTTAACTTTTATTCCATGTTAAAAATGGGTATTTTTCCACCATCATTTAATTTTCATTACCTGTGTGGTACGGTTATCTCAACGCAATGGGTTTTTTTTTTTTTTTTTTTGCATGGTTATGTAATGTTACAGGATAAATAGATTACTACTTGCATGTGTTTTTGTATTAGCAGGTATCCGTATGTTAATCACTAATGTCTGTCATGTGATACATGTTTTGTGCCTGATGGGAAGATGGTCTTGGTGTGTCTTTTGGTTCCCCACACCGTGTGATCTCCGTTAGTCTTCCCACATTATGTCTGAGATCACCCCGTATCGTAATCGCCTTTGCTATATTCACGAGAGGCCATTTTGCTGAGCGGCGCCGTGCATCACGGACAGGCAGGTGAGATTACCGACGGTGAACAGACTGATTGCTCTCTAAGGCTTTCAGCCTGAATCAGTCACCTCAGCAGTGACCGTAAGTCCCAAGCCTGCAAACCGTCCTGTAACTGCCTTGCTCAGTATGAAGAGAATGTTATTCGCAGCTGTGACAATGTTAGTTTTTTTCCTACAAAGGACCGAAGCACACTGATGAAGTGGCTGGCATTTAAATGTAGTGAGTGAGTGAGAGATTGAATGAGAGTGAATGTAGGACTGTTTGGACAGTATGCCCTATGACTGAAGAACAGGGAGGGGAGATCCTTTAAAAAGATTTCTTTGTACTTCTGGTATTTTAACAAGAGACAGCTGCATTGATATGCAAGTGACACTGAATTTTATAGGTAGAAAAAAAGAAAAAAAAACAGTATGAAACTAACCAGTATGTTTGCTGGTGGTCATTTGTGTAGAAGCACCTGGAGTGTGTAAAGATGCATTTGTAATACGTGACCCTGACTTTTGAATAAATACTGTAAACACTGTGCTGGTATCTGTTCTTTTGATTACACAATATGGCAGCTTGTGTTCTAGTGTGACTTAACCTCTGTGAATTTGGAGTTCATGTGCTGTAATTGCTCAATATGGATTATGCTTCAGCGTATTTAGCATCAAACATGTGGTCATATAAAGGATTCAGCAGGAGCTACTTTTTCTACACTTTCAAATAATGGGATTTTAAAGCAAAACTTACTCTGTAGAGAGTGTCATGTACTGAGCATATCTGACCAGCAGGGGGAAGCAGAGGGCCACCCTGCAGCATAGGGCCAGTCATATGGCACTTAGCTCATTTGGGCTCTTGCTGATGAGGTTGGGGGTGCTCCACAGGTGGTACAGGAGACCCAGGAACCATGTATGTTGCTTGGATGGCTCACTTTTTGCTGTCATGCTCCTCTGGACAATGGTACAGGGGGCGACTAGGTTGCCCATGACAACAGTATGGGCTAAGTTTGGGGGGTCAGGTGGGGGAGTCAATGCCCTCCTTTCCTACAGAAGAAAAAATCTATTGTAGGGATGCAGATTTAGTCACAGAAGCAAGGAGCAACATTCATCACATCCCTAAAGGTGGGGGAGGGAATGTTTCATCATGGGGGTTTTGACAGCCTGAAAGGCCTGTGTTTAAGCATTGATGCCATCCATTAAAATGCATAACTCGTAGATCTGACAGCATCCTTTGAGTGAAGAGTCTATAAATTACTGGTATCATACTGCAGTATACAAGGTAAAAAGGAAATAGATACTTTTAATACCACCTTAAAATAGTTTGAGGCTCTGGAAAAAAACAGGTCTGTCGCAGAGTGTAAAATGTTAAAATTTAATTTAAAATAATCCTGACGACTCGTCCCGGTTGCCCCCGTCGCCCCACTCACTGACCCTGACCAGAAGCGGATATATGTTTCGATTGATACATGAACATTTTAAAACAAATCACTCCGACATAATGATTTTATTATTGATTATTTACTAGAGCCGTTTAACAGTAATTGTGCGACGGGGCATGGGAAGACAATGTTAAGCGCGTGTCTCCCGCAATCTGTGTCCGCCGTTTGCACGCTTCCATGCCGTGGTCGATGGTAACGGAGCCGGGGGGGGGTGAGGTCGCCTTGCAGTTCGTGCTGGCGGGATGGTGAGGACGCGGCGCCCCGGGCCAGGCCGGCACGGCCCTTCCCCTCGGACTGAACACGCGTGTCGCCGTCCCCGCCTTGACGGTCATTCCTCCGCCCGATCCCCATTTCAGCACCGCTGTCTATGCAGGACGCACCTCGTCACCATCCCCGTCCAGATTTCTGTTCTCCCTGCCTCTTTCTCTTTTCTTTGCGCATGGGGGACGTCTGCGTTCTCATCTTTCGCACAGCGTCCCCCTCTCTCTCCCCAAAGCGTCCTCCGCCCGTGCGTTACTGCCTTTCCCCCCGCGGAAGATGGCGGTCGGGATGCAGACGAGGAGACTGAGGAGCAGCCGCATAGCCCGACGGGCGCGTTAGGAGAGCCAGGATCGCGCTCACCGACATGGCTTTTTGGGGCTACTTTTCACCACAGTCGCCGATTAACTCGCCGCGATCCGGCTCGCCTTTTTAGGGGGGATCTGGTGCACTTCGTCGAGACCCGCCGCCGCCGTCGGATCCTACCGGAGGGCTGGAGGGGGGAGGACAAAAAGTGGATAAAAAATGTCAGACACGAAGGTAAAAGTTGCAGTTCGTGTCCGGCCGATGAATCGGAGAGGTAAGTGATCCGATCATGCATCTTAATGCCCTAAATCGGGGGGCGATTTGCAAACTTTGCCCGTTATTGACATTTTTTTCATCAAACTACGTAATTTTATTAACATCTATCTGGCTACTTTTCCCGACTGCGGCTATGCAGATGTTAAGTTTTTTAGTATCAATGCTTGTGGTTGCTTTAAAAACATTCTTTTTTAAAAAAAAGTTGGAGTGCAAAGTTGCGAATCAGGTGCACAAGGCAGTGGTTTTCTCCCGAAGTGAACCGGGCTGTTAACACTTTGCTCTGAAACTGTTACTGCAGAGATTGAGCTCAACACAAAATGTGTCCTGGAGATGGAAGACAACCAGACCATCCTGCACCCGCCGCCCTCCAACGCCAAGGGAGAAAACAGGTAAAAATGCCATTTTAAATAACACTTTCACTAGTGATCCTTAAATGTCCATGCCTGGGGAGTTGCTGCTCCTTGTGTTTTGCTTTGTGATTTTATGGGTCTGCTAGATTTTGAGTAGGAGCGTCCGGAGCTTCTTTTCTGCCGTGTCATTTAGTGGGTATGGAATGCTAGCTGCTTTCCTTTTTTACCATCTGGACAGTTGCATTGCAGCCCTGATCAGCGAAGGGCGGCTTTTTTTTTTTGGAAATGACAGTATTAATAAGCGATCTCTGAACCCAGGGCCCTTCACGGCTCCTCTGGGGGAGCCGTCACACCGGCCTTCGGTTCCTCAGCGCCCAGCTTTTCGTTTAGCTGTCTGGAGACAGTGTAACCTGGAGAGATTCCCCCCCCCACCCCCCCCCTCCCCTTTGTGATGGGCCACGACCTCTATGAGCCCTATGCTGGCTTGGGCTGGAGATGTAAACAAGGCAACTGGGGGGGGGGGTAAAAAAGAGGGAAGATAGGAACAAATGTCTGGGTGCCAGCCAACATTCCGATGCAACTGGCTGTAAAAATAGGATATGATGAGACGATGGCAGGCTGGACACATGCGTCTGTTTGCGAATGAGTTAGAAAAAAGGCATTAACTTGTGCATTTGTTTCCTTAAGTTACTGGTGTGTAATAAATAACGGGAGAACCAGACTATCCAGACTAAATACATCTATATTGTCTATCATGTCCTACCCCAATGTAAGAGATGCATTAAACAAATGAAGGACTGTAATGTCCTTAATCTCTGTGCTGTTCTTTTTTTGATTCTCGCATAAAGGGCTTATGACACAAAGCTGTTTGGAACAATATTTGACAGGTGCTTGGTGTTATTGATGGATGCCAGCCGCACTTAAGAGCTTCCGCTTATGGTTATTTCCTCAGTTTTTCTCTATACGGTTGTTAGTTTAGTGCCGAATAATAATTTACTGGTAATTAGCGTCGCCTTGGTTTTCTCTGTGTCTTCCAAACTGGTTTGTTCATAAAAAACAGCTTCTTAGAAGAGGCTATGGTGGCAGCCCATGCCGTTTGTCTGAGAAAGTCATACAGCAGGGATATTATAAAGTATGGTTGCACTTCTTTTATTTAAGTGTTCAAATGGCTTTTACTTGCCATCTCAGTTTCCTTTACATCTGACCTGCAGTTATGACTTTTCCTGACTGTGTTAAGTGGTGGAGGATTTAGTTGTGACTATCAGCATGTAATAGTAAAAACTGTAGAGACTTTCTGAAAGTTTTGCTGCTTATAATGTGTAAATTCTCCTCACCACACTCCGGTATTTTACAGCGATTGCTGGTTGCTGCCAGCGTCGGCTGAGATTTCCCCTTGGCTTCTGCTAAATGCTTTCCTTAGTATGTCATCACCTGTCCCGTATGCCGTCCGCTGGTGTTCCATACCCACTCTGCTCATATCTGTGTGATGTCATACACGGTTACAAGCCACTTGCTGTTGCCATGGTGAATCCATTGTCAGGATCTTGGCACCCTCAGGCAGCCTGTGTCTCTTCGTGCTGCTCCTCCGTCCTGCCCCCGCGCCAATCAGTCCTGCTATGGGGGGGGGGACCCATTTCCCATCATGCACTGCGACGGGACAGGAGTCGCGGGAACGGAAGGCCTCCACCTGTGGCGGCACTCTTCATGAGGCCGAGCGCCTGTCCAGGCTCCCCCTGTTCCCAGTGGACTTTTTCACGCTCTCAGCCAGGCCAGTGACGTACATTGGCGATCCAAGGCTGAGCCACGGACTGCTCTATAGCCACCCCACCCTGATTTCCTTTTGTGGCAGCTGCGTTGTTGTTCTGCATCCTTGAATAAAAAATGCGGACACTCAAGACCCAATTAAAAGAAAATGAGCCTCCAGCAAAACAGGTTCTCATCCAGGCTCTTATGAAAAAGGAAGTAATTTAATCTGCAGGATACAATATAATGCATTTCATTCTGTGAAATAACTGTAAATAGTTATCTTCTAATGATCACCTTGTCAGTTTCTGGCCCAAGTCATGTTGGCAGCTTTTAACTCTGGTCATGGTTGGACCCGTCTTGTTTTGTCAAGTTTAAACAGTCAAGCAGGCGAGTGTAATTACTAGACTATATCAAAACAAGTTCTGCTGTGAATAAAGAGACCAGGAACCAACCTGAAAGCCACTTCTGTCATCATTTTGGAAGATATTGTTGGACAAACACGGATTATTTAGGCAGGTAGCCACCTCCTATGGCCTTGTGGGATATGGAGTTCTAGGAGTGCAGCAGCCATTTTCCCAGGACTATCCTCATTCTGCCATTGGCCTTAGATTTGCATGTTTCAAGCAGGAAATCAAGGCAGGAGATGGAGAGGCTGGGAGGAGATGTGGCTTCACAAAGCCTGTCCTTGTGCTGAGTCTGCAGAGGATTGCTGCACTGAGTCTGCCAGTTGCTTCTGTCCCTTCTCAGGGCGATGAGTCTGCAGGTTTGGTGGTCTGTGGGGTTTCATCGAGCTTCCATCTTGGTCAAGATTGCACCATTATTTGCCGGCTAACATGAGTATTCCATTGATTCCACCTCATGATTTTCACTGTTGTCTTGGCCAGCTGACATTTAATCAGTTTGCTTGTTTTTTCTTTTTTGCACGTAGAATTAAATTTTCAGATCTGTTTAAATAATAATCATCATCCATATGTCTGTAAGCCTTGCCGAGTGTGTAGCAGAGTTCTGCTTGGAATCTCTGTTTCTTGAATACCTTTGACCACTGTTAGAGAGAAAGCGATGGCTCAGATTGATGATCTCGCACATGATCTTCTTGATGAGGGTGGGAAAGATATGGGGGGGGGGTGTTCGGTATACAATGGGTTTCTGAACGGCAGCAAGGTGGATGTACAAATGCTGTTGCTATCAGGGCTGCCACTAAGTATTTTTGCCAATTGATTGATTAATCTAAATGATTCATTTTCCTCCAGATAGACCGTTTAATTTGAGTTCATTTTATTTTGAAAACAACAAACTGCATGTTATTGCAGGGCTTTAGATAATGGATGCTGGCTTATCGGCACTATACGGGCATTATTTTCACCTACGGTTCGATAAGCAAATTAGTAGTATTCCTAAAATATTAAAGACATGCGTACCGTGACACCCAAAAGTTAGTAATATGTGTAAATTCAGCATATCCTTTTGCTTATTAAATTCAGTTAGCACACCACATGCGGCTGTTTTAGTAAGTCAATAAGCAATAAACAATTAAAGGGACAGATCAGCAACCACATCCTTTAAAAGAGGAGATATTGTGGATAAACAAGGTTAAAAGATGATGGTGGTGTGGTGGTACATTTATAAATATAGTTTTCATTTTTATTACGGTTCACAAATTATTTTCATTTATTTAGTGTCCGTTTTCATTTCAGTTTTAGTTTACTAAAATAACACTGGTCCCAATAAGCCCAATGCATATGAACACACACTGGCACCATCAATCCACGTAGACTGAGCCCTGATTTCAGCCTAAACATTTTCTCAAACACTTATTCAGTGGAAATTTTATGGTAGCAGGCAGACAAATTTATGGCTTTAATATGTATTTTAAGTGCATTTAGTAGCTACAATGACAAAAGAAATTTTAAAACTCTCTAATTTAATAAACATGAATAGACAACACTTGGTGGTTTTGACAGACAACACTTAAGGTGGTTTTACTTACTCTGGTGGTGCAGAATAGCGCCTTTGTGTTTTCTCTTCAGACATTCTTGCATAGCGCTGGTGCCCATGTAGTATTCCATCTAACTTTGCACAGTGTAAAACCACCTTTTTGTTTTTTTTTGTTAATTTGAACGACTCCCATGATTACGAAGTGATATTAAAGGAAAACATTTGTCATACTGAATTGAAGCGTTTTAGAAATCATCATGGTAATTTAATTAAAATAACAAAAAAAAAAGAATGATGTGTCAATTTAAAATATTGATGTTGACGCATTTTCAGCATCAACGTCATCAACTTTGTCAACTTAATTGCGGCAGCCCTAGTTGCCATCCTTAACTGTCAGCAGATGTGGACATTTCAGGTCCAGAAAGTAAAAATCCAGACCAAGATTTTGTTTCAACCAACCAGTCGAGTACTCTGTGACTGTGACTCTTTATACTCAACTGGTTGGTCGAAACAAAATCTTGGTCTGGATTTATACTTTCTGGACCTGAAATGTCCACCTCTGAACTGCCAGTGTGTGTCGTGATTATTGCTTACTTGGTTTTATGACAAATGTGGGAGTGTTTTACTCTACACTAGATGGGAAGACCCCATCACATGAAGCTATTGAAGCAATGTGGGGTCTGTTAGGTGACAAGGAGATGGTTTGACGTGAGAAAGAGGTTTGAGATGATGGGTTAGGTTTCCAGCATACAAGCAGTCATGGTCACTTTCAAGAAATCTAGAACTACCAGGGAAGGCGTGTGTAGTGTAGGGCTGGTACAGGTGTGGGTTGGTTGGATGGGATCTTGTGCTCTGCTGATGCAAACTTGTGATTAGGTGGTGTGAGAAGTTTGGCAGAGCCTTCTGCAGTGAGAACCTGTAGAACACTCTCTTGACAAAGATACGGAGTCCATTGTACCCACCAAGCTTTAAATCCCCGCAGATTCTTCTACACGAATTTAGTTCCTAGAAGCATACCATCCTGTGAAGTCAACTGTTTGAACAGAGTGGTGTTATTCCAATAGCTGGCAGGTCAACAAGAGGGTTGCAAAGGGGCAGAAAATTTCCAGTAAATTTCCAGAAACTTTCCATGAGAAGTAAGGTTACAAAGGGGTGGAAAATTTCCAGAAACTTTCCATGGGAAGTTAAGTTGGGGAATTTTGGAAGTATTGAACTCCAGAGAACTCCACGCAAGCTGTCATATATGGCAAAGAAAGCAAACTGTATAAATAATACAACACTGAATATAACTTATAAGCAGTGTGTTTTGATGTTCAGATGCTTATTTTGGGGTGTTCTTACGCATACAGTTACCCATA